CCGGGGCCGCTGCAAATCCCCGGAGCCGGCGGCGGCTTTTCCCGAGCGGAGCGGAAGGGCCGAAGTCCATCCACACCCTGCCGGGCGCAGCTTCCAAAGGAGCCGGCGCGGGAGGGAGTTCCTGCTTGAGCAGAGCTTAAAAACAAACCAAGAGAGAAGCCCCATGAGCTGGGGACACTTAAACTCCTCGGAGAGGGGGCGATTAGAGCTGAAACGGCCGCGAAGGGATCACGTTTTGGTTTGTTGTTTTTTCCACGGAAGGCCCCGTCAGCACTCGCTGCCGCGGCGGTACCGTGCGGCACGAGAGATAAAAAACCAGGGCCAAAAAGGGGCCGCGAGCGGCGCAAACAGGAAGCTGCCGAGAGCAGCGCGGCGGCTGCGGGGTTATAAAAGCGGCGCCCGGGGAGCTGCTGTTGCAGGGTGTGAAGCAGGGGCCGGGCTGCAGGTCCGGCGCTGGTGCTGGAAAATGAGAAGCTAAGAGGAAACGCAGTATTTTCATGGCACGTTAAAGCCCCCCTGCCCGATTTCGGCTGCAGAAACAGGCGGTTTGACAAGCAGAAAGCAGCAGAGCAGCCCGGCTGGGAAGCGCGGGAGCTCCCGGGCCGGGTTGGTGATCCGCAGGGATCGGGTGGCAGCCGAGCGGCGCGGGCGCCGTTTATTCATTATTCACCGCGGCCACGGCGCGACTCAGCCCTGTCCCAGCACGAGGGAGTCGAGAAAGCAGCTTCGAGACACTGTGACATTCTCAAGAGCCAAACGGGGCAGCGTGGGCAGCTTCTGCCAGGAGAAATTCCCCATATGGAGCAGAACTGAGAGCGTCCAGGGTGGCCAGGGGGTTATTCCGCTCTCCGTGGGCAGCTCGAGTTCCCTGTAGAGGAGGTTGCAGGAGACTGTCCTGCGATTCCAGGCTGAGCTTCATCCCTCCATCCTTTCCTAAGGAACTTACCCACGGCGCGCTCAGCTGGTCCCCGGCACAGCTGCACATTTCAAGGCACTGACACCAAGAGATTAAATTCACATACGCCCAAACTTCGGCATGTCAGAATCCCAGGAAAGCTCTTAATTAGCAAACGAGAGACCAGCACTGGAATAATACACCCGTAAGGGACAAATGGGAATAAATAAATAATTACTTGTGCCTGACGGGCTCCTCTTCCTCATCTTCTCTGAGCTGCTTCTTCTCACCGTCCTTATTCTGGAAGGGAGAAAAGAGGATCTGTGAGGCCTGGGCCTTTCTGGAAATCACAGGGAGCAAATAAAAACCCTGAGCAGGAGGCCCGGGGCGGACACACATCCCCAAACCTTCAGGATCGCCACAGATACTGCTATTTTGGCTGCAGGGAGCTATAAACAAAACACATGAGTTTGTTAAACCTCCTTGCAAAAGCCCCGCGTGTCCCGTGGCTGAACAAAGCGCTCGGCACCAAACACATCCGTGCTTGTTTTGCCACCTAAAAAGCACCAAGGTGCCAAAGGTATTTGCCAGCAAATCCTATTTCCAGCCCCGGAAAGGATCGGGAAGGTTTCCCAGGGCAGCAGGTGGCTTGTGGTGCCTTTCTGGGGTACCTGCCTTTAACCCGGGTTACAAAACAGCGTCTTGAAAAGTAGGTGACGTGCGAGCAGCGCCGAGGCAGGAAACGGTTCAGCTGCGGTTCGGGCCCGTCTTGCGCTTTGCTCTCGCTAGAGTTTTATCTGGAGCGGTTATAAGCAGGTTCTCAAAGGCTAAGAAAGATAACACAGGGCCAAAAATACCCACACTGAGCTGTGGCTGCTCTTCCCGTGACAAGACTGTAGTTTTCACACTGCTCCAAATTCTTCTTCGCCTCAGAACTTGAAATAATTTGATATGAGAAGCCTATCACTGTCCTAGGGTTTTAGCCCCTCTCTGCCAGGTAGATTCTGCAGTTTAATGCCCGTTAGCACCCAAATCTCTTCTGAAGTCCTCCTGATATAGAAGGAAGAAGAAATAAATACATAAATTTAAATGCGCTGCCACCAACGCGGTGCAAAAAGCCCCACAGTATTTGCAACCCAAGGTCTCATTCTGCTACAGCTGTCCTGGAAATACCCTCTTGGGCAGCCACACCGCCCTGGGGTGACAGGGGAAGGGGTGCCACAGTCTCCCCGGGGATTTTCCACGTTGGAAAGAGCAGGAAGGGGCCTGAAAGAGAGGCTGCAGGTTCATAAGGGTGCAAAGGGAAAGGTCTGAAGTTGGGCTCCCATGCAGGAGGAATTAAGGCCGGTTCCCCGTTTGCAGCCCGCTCCGCCGACAACGTTTCGGTTTCGTCAGCGCGGTGGCCGAAACCAGAGCAAGCCCCGGGGCAGGAGCTGCACGTGCTGAACGGGCCCCGGAGCCCAGCGGCCACCGTTGGGCACCGTTGGGCACCGACTCCCCTAAACACCGCAGCCGAGGAAGGGCGTTTGCGCGCGCGGCTCCGTTTCCGCCGGCGCGAGGAGCACTCGGCGTCCCGGCTTGCTCAACACCCCCAAGGCCGGGCGTCCTCGCGCTGCGGCGCGTCACGGGGCCGGCCTCGTTGAGCAACGTGGGGAGGGTCCCTCAAACGCTCGGTTTGGGCTTCATCTCTGTCCTCTTTCCAAGCAGCTGCCCACGCCGCGCTTCTCCGGGCACCCACGCGCGGCTCCACCAAGCACCTCGCAACAGCGGCGATGGCCTCGGGGATCCCCGCTTCTCTCGGCCTTCCTCACTCAAGACCTGCCCTTCATCATCCTCACAGTGGCCCCGTCACAACGGGCATTTGGACGGCCCAACACGGCGCTTGGGTCACCCGCCGGGTGCTCGGGTCCCCCTCGGGTGCTTCCCACAGGTGCACGGCCGGAACTCGACTCTTCCCGCTTTTCGGTTCAGCTTCCTCTTCTCACATCTGGAAAAGGGCAGGCCTCGCGCCGCAGGAGGAGCCCAAAATAACCCTCGTGCTCCTCTACCCTCGTGCCGGCGATTCCTCTTTTCAGAGCCCCCCAGTGAGGTGTTTATCGCCGGCTGCAACTCGTGCGATTGGAGACGCAGTCTACAAGACCCTTTGCCAACGACCAACAAGCAAAGTCATTCCCGTCCTGCTGCCTCCGGGGAGGAGACGGCCTAAAGACAAACTGGATGTGGAAGAGCTCGCTTGCTCCTAGGCCCCTGCTGCTCCATTCTCCAATATCTCAGCTGGCAAAGAGGTGGGAGACGAGGAGAGGCCCAAGCGCTGCCTGTTCGGGCACGCGCCCAAGATTTGCATCAGGTTGTTCAAGGAAGGGTGGCAGCCTGCAACGCCTGCAAGGCCCTCGGCAAGCTTGGGAGGGGAGCAGGTAAAAGCCTACGTCCTTGGCCTCGAATATTCGGGGAGTTACACGTCATTAGAAAGGTTGCGAAACGCGGGCCACGAGCCAGGTTATTTGGTCGGCAGCGCTGGGTCGAGAAGAACGGATCTGTCCACACGTCATTCAGGCAAGGTGGACAACACAACTAAGCCCTAACGTGCAACAAGAGGGCAGTGAGGAGAGAGGCTGCTAGAGCATCACGATGTAGAGAAACGGGCTCGGGTACCAGCGAGACGAGTGCCAGCTCTGGTGCATATAGGTAATATACTCAAAACTTTCTCCTGGGATTCCCATACCTCATCCCAGCTTCTCTTCCTGCTAGGATCCTGCCCAGGTTGTCGCTTTGCATCACATCCTAAACCTGAAAGCCAAGAGTGTCATTTCAACCATCCAATCTGACTTAACGGAGGCACTGGAGATCTGGGAGGTCTCTCCCAGCTATCCCTATACGGGACAGGCATCCAAGTGGAACGTTGTCTCCAAGAAAAGCCAAAGGAGACAACCTGCTCCTGACGGCAGCAGATGGAGGATCCATTCTGCTGGGAGTGTGGCCTGCAACCTGCACAGTGACACGGTTTTCTTCCAGCTGTTGGTTCCTGTCATCGTCTGCCATTAAAGACTGTGCCTGGAGCTGCTGCCTTTGGAGGACGAGGACGCCCGGGCACTTACCAGGATGAGAACAGGCATGGAGAAACCACCAGGATGAGCTGCCGGAATCAGGCACTGCGGGTGGTTCTCCTCATCCACATGCTGATTTTTGAAGATGCCTTAAAACACCAACACTGGAGCAGCAGCGAGGGGCTCACCTGGTCACGGGAGGTGCGGAAAAGCAGTATCATAGAATCACAGAATGCTGAAGGTTGGAAGGGACCTCTAGGGATCATCCAGTCCAACCCCTGCACACGCAGGGTCACCTAGAGCACGTGGCACAGGACTGCGTCCAAGCGGGTTTGGAGATCTCCAGAGAAGGAGACTCCACAACCTCTCTGGGCAGCCTGTTCCAGTGCTCTGGCACCCTCACTGTCAATAAATTTTTCCTTAAGTTCATGTGGAACTTTTGGTGTTTCAGTTTGTGGCCATTTCCTCTAGTTCTGTCGGTGGCCACCAGTAAAAAGAGGCCGCCCCATCTTCCTCACTGCCTCCCTTGAGGTACTTCTAGACACTGCTCAGGTCCCCTCTCAGCCTTCTCTTCTCCAGCTGAACAGGCCCAGCTCCCTCAGCCTCTCCTCACAGGGCAGATGTTCCAGGCCCCTGATCATCCTCGTAGCCCTGCGCTGGCCTCTCTCCAGCAGCTCCACATCCCTCTTGTCCTGTGGAGCCCAGAACTGGACACAATACTCCAGAGTATCCACCTCACTTTGTGCACAAATCCAGGATTCAGCAGTGGCCTTTTCATCTCCTGACTCCCAGAGGGCTCCGTCACCCGCTGCTGCCCTGACCTTGGGGCTCTGAGTCACCTGGCCACGAGGAAGCGGAAAGTTCAGCCGCCCGTTTCCAAGTGACGGATGGAAACACTGGGGGCACAGGCCCCACCAATGCGTCCCAACACGTCTGTTGGGTGACAATTCTCCACTGAGACCTCTCGGCTCCGGGTCACCTTGTCAAGCCCTTCCCCTGCCTTCTCAGGGGCAACCTGAGCGCTCCCATTTGGAGCCAGCGCGTGCTGCAATAAGCAGCTTTCCCTAAAGCAAATTCCCATGCCAAGAGTGATGCTGCCTTTTCCTTGCTCTTAGGAGAACAGGGATTTGTAAAGTGTTTTATTCACCATTGAGTGACAGCCTAACTGGCTTCACCCACGTTACCCCTCTTACCTTTAACAGGGGTATTTCAATCGCACCCTTCCAGGCCTTTGGAATTGATCCAGTAATCACGAAAGATCAAATCAAAACGCGGCGGGTGAGCAGCCTCTTCAACTGATTATTTAAAGATTCTGGGGTGCAAATTACCTGCCAGGGCTGATTGTAAGTGTTTTGCTAGATGTCTAACATCCTCTCATCGCTGTTGGCCTGCAAAGCAGCTCGTCATCCTGTGTGACACCAGGAGGTCACTTCTTTCAAACACGCCTTGAGAATCGAAGCTCATTTTGCTGCTCTTCACCATCTCCTGAAGGTTCCTGTCTGAAGAACCGTCTGCTGCCTGCTCAGAACTGGCCTTTACCCAGAGCAGCAATTACCAAATTGAGGTGTTTTGACCATCTCCATCCGTTCCTCCGCAGCTCGAGCGCTGCTGCCCCTTCCAAACCCCTTGGCTACTGCACACCAGGATTAAATGCAACCCGGCCGTGCCGAGCAATCCATCATCAATCCCAAAAAGCCAGCAAAACAGCCCGAGTCTCCTCTATTAATTGGAATTAATACCAACTTCTTGTCTTGGAGCAATGGCTGGAATACTAATGACGTCCTTATCTTTCATTAGGGCTTAGAGGATGGTCATGCTACCAGATAATTGCTTCTTTGGCCAAATAAGTGTCTCTTATTGAGGAAGCAGAAAGAAATAGATGCTCCAAAGCTCCATCCTGGGCCTTTTTACTTACTGCTTTGCAGAGATTGACATCTAGATGTCCCTGAAGCTTGGCGAGGAGCAAGATGTGCAGCCTTGCTCCCATCTCACCACTTTCTGGGGATGTTCTTGGCCTTCTTGGGGCTGCCAAGAAAACTAAGAGCTAGGAAATGTCTCTTGATGGCTTTGAGTAACTCCAGGTTTCTACTGGCAATAATAAAACACATCTTAAAAGTAGCTCCAGATTCAATTCTGTTACAAGAAGCCAAAAAATGAAGAATGAGCTGTAAAGTTTTACAGCAAGAAGTTCTGAACTTCAAAATATCACTAAAGACAAACCCGAGATCCACCGGTATTTCCCAACAAGCTACTTAGCAGCCGTTTGCTCACTGCAACCTTGCAGCAATTGTGCAAAAAAAGGATTTTTAAGAGCCTGAGCTCCTGTGTCCCTGCTGCCTTTTGCCTTATTGAAGTCATAATCCTGGTTCAGTCACCGCTGGTTGCTATGGAAATGGTTAAATCGGAGATTGAACGGGGCAACTTCACGGAAGAAAGCAACCCAAGGAGCAAAACAGCCTCCAAATATCAACCTTTGTTGATATCAACACCTTTGTTTTTGCACCAGGGCCTCCAAAAATCCCTTTCCCTCTGCAAAACAGCAGGTTTCTGTCATGCTTTCCTAATTTTGTTGTTTATAAGCAAACACAAGTATTTCTTCCCTTCAGATAACGCTAAATAATTGCAAAATAGAGGTGTTAGCTGCTTTTAAATCGAGCTGTTCTTGTGATTTCAGGCGCTGGTTACACTGCAAGGACTGGTGCACGCGCTTGGCAAAGGCACCAACTTCTTAATGCAGAAAGTGCAGTGAAAACAGGCAAGTTTCGATTAGATACAGAAAGTCTGAGGGGAGGAAACGGATAGTTCTGGCAGGAAGAAGATGACATTGCAAAGTGCAAGCGCTGTTTTGGGTCCTGGGGAGCTGTGAACAGACTTCGCCCACCCGATGCAGGAGAAACTTCACTTCTCCCTTCCAAGCAGGGCACTGTCAAAGCAAAAACCAGCTCAAAAGCGAGCGGAAGGTTTTAACCCCTCACTGCTGCTTTCTTAAATCAGAATAATTCCTTCCTAGCACATAGGAGAGGAGCAGATCCCTCAATTCCAAGGCACCAGCGGAGCGGGATGCTATTTGCTACCTTGGGGAACGTTTTCCTGGAGGGACGAGGGGGCCACGCTTGGGTTTTAGGAGCAGCTAAGCGGGTTAATCCGTCACCTCCGAGCTCGGGGCCAAAAGCAGAAACAAAACCTCACACGGTTTCACTTCTCCTCCAGAGAGCAGCTACAACCGGCCTCGTGTTCAGGCACCAAGACCTCGCTGAAAGGTGAAGCGTTTGCCCGAGGAGGAGCCTGCGCGCATGGGCCTTCTCCAGCGCTGCATTTATTTAAAAAAAGAAAAAAAGAAAGAAAAGCACCTTGGTTAGATCCCGCTTGCCGCGGGACAGCCCCGCCGCTGAACCTATTTTTTCCGCCGTCTCTTTTTCGCGAAGGGCACAAAAAAGCCCGTTGAACAGCAAGGCCGGGCGGTCCCGCGGGTGCAGCTCCCTGCCCACGGATTTGTTTTCTCCCCCTCGGCATTTGACTCTGCTCTTGGAGGTGGAAAGACGCTGGGGAACTCGGGGGCTTGCAGAGACTCCCAGGCCCTTCTGCTCTGCCTCGCTAGCCCAGCAACCTGCTTGGACAGACATTAAAGAAAACCCCTCCGTGGCTACCAGCAACCCAGCGCTCACATCATTCCGGCAGCAAGAGCTGAATTCCCTGTCCGTGAAGTTAGGAAAGCTCCAAGAGGCGAAGGGAATACAGATCCAGGGAGTAACTCCTGTCCCAACATCCATCCGTGTCCAGAGCGGGACATCCAGCCTCAAGAAGGGGCAACGGCACCGAGCTGCACCAAAAACTTATTATTTTCTACAGAAGCCCCCCATAAACCAAGCCCTGAGCGGGTGTTTTGTCCTCGCCGGGATGACTTTCCTGCATTCCTGTTACCACAGCAACTGCTTTCCCGGCCCCTTCGCACTTGGCTTGCAGGAACGCGCTTTGCTGCAGGAAAACGGGAAAAACAACGGAGAGGGAAAACAGGGCACGCTCGAGCGCGGCGCCGGGGTCCACGGATCCATGGGATCGAGACATCTGCCGAGGGAAAGGCTTGGCCAAAACTGCCTTTCCAATGAGGGGGAAACCCAGGGAAGCGACGAGGCCAGGGAAACCCTTCCTGGCTGCCCCGAGTGCTCGAGATCAGCCAGTCTTGCCCCAAAAGCTCCCGCGTCGCCGCTTTCCGAGCGCCGTTTCAGGCATTTTGGTAGCACAGAAATAGCCCCGAGGCTATTACGTTCCTCAGGTCACTGCGTGAGACGTCCGGCCATAAATATACATGCAACATCCCTGCACTGCAAGGTCTATTTATAATTGCAAATGCTAAATGCTGCTTTCAAAGCGGGCTAGCAAGGAGCCTTTTTCCATCCGAATGCTGCAAGTGAGACGAGGCTACCAGAGAGCAAACGGGAACCCGGCCACGGGAACGGCGCCTCAAGAGCCCCACGTGCTTTTATATCATACACAAAATTCCGAAATGTGCGTGTACAAGCACTTCCATAGAAACCCAAAACACAACCATCCGCTCCGGACGCGGATCCTGCGGACAAAAGATGCCTGGGAAGGGGCTTTGCGCTTCCCCTCGCTGGTTTGCAGGGAAGAGGGGATTGCTGCTCATTCTTTGGCTATTTCCCCGGTTATTTTTGTGCCATGAAGTGGTGGCTGTCACATCCCACGGCCTCGGGGAGAGGAGAGCCCACGTGTCCCGCACGCACCCTCTGCCTTTTCTTCCTTTCCTCCTCATTTCCAGACCGGCTCCGTTTCCTTCACAAGCAGGAAACCAACCACTACAAATCGGGTGTTTTGGGAGAACTCTCTTTAAACCATTCACTTCTGACAGAAAACGGGAGTAAGCAGAAACACAGCACCAGTTTTCAGCATCTTCCCCTCACTGCTAGCACTTTCCTAAGCCCCAAACTCCCCCAAACACTCCCAAACCGCCTGGATTTTTAGCGGCACGACCTCGGATTTAAGGCTGGAGATAACACCCTTCTCCCCAGGGACCAAGGGGCGTTCCCGCTGTTTCCTTACGGCTTTGTTTCCCACCGACGGGAATAACCTGAGGTTGTGGGCACCAAGCCACAGGCGTCCCGAGAGACCCAGGAGCAGCAGCAGCACTAAAGGCAGAAATAAATAACGTGTCTTTGGACACGCAGCTCCGGATGCTCTCGGGATGTGTCCGAGGCTGCCGTCAACGTCGCTTCTCTGTTTCAAAGCTGCTGCTTTCCCGATGAAATAGTTACCCTTGAAACGCCCGTGCCTCACAATTTGCATTTGCCGTATTCGTGGAACCAAAGGGAATTAGGAAAACAATGTCAAGCCCCAGGTAAAAATAAATTAAAGAAAAAAGCTACCAGGGAGTTGCCAAACGTGAAGAAAAAGCTTCTAAAGCTTCAAAACCTGAATCTGAAAGGCAGACAAATGATTGCGTGGAAAGAGAAGTTCCAGGCCAACCTTAAACTCTGTTACTCGTCATCATGTTGAATTTAAACACAAGGTGCTAAGTCGAAGAGCTCAGGACTCTGCTGATGTTCCCTGCAGCAACTGCCAGGCATTTCCTTGGAGAAGGCACGCGAAGGAAATTCCTGCAGGAATTCCCACCTCTCACTGCACCGGGATGAAGCTGGTCAACGCAGAGGAGAGGAGACGTGCAGCCTCAGAGGTTTTATTTTTAACAGGAAAGGAAAAAAGTTACCCCAAACGACTATCTTAACAAGCAAAGGAACAAATGAGAGACAAGTTTATTCATTCGAGATTAATGAGAAACAGGAAAACTCAGATCTCAACCTCTCTGCCACTTTCCTGCATGAGGTTAACCCTCCCTTTACGAGGCTCCCACTGGGGTTTATTCCATGACAGCAGCTCCACACGGAAGAGGAGGAAAAATAAACACGTGGCCTCCAAATCCCCCCCTTCCAAGGGCAGCCCCACGGTCGCTCCCTGCTCTGCTCCAATCCCTGCTGCTAAAAACAAGCGGCGGTGGGAAAAGCCCTCGGCTTCCTGCAGGAATGAGAACAACTCGCTGCTTCCCCTCCTTGCTTGCCCCCGAGGAATGAGCTAGCTGCCCTTTACTAAAGACACATATTTTTAACGAAAAATTCCTCCCCAAGGCAAAAAAGGCAGCTGTGTAGGACACAATCGCTCTGCTGGGATATCTAAGCCAGATAAAAGGGCTGAATTCTTCCCGAGATCTTTTACAAGCACCGTTTTCCCTATAACGGATGAGCCAGGAATCTGGTTATCTTCCAAGGAGATAGTTCTGTATTTTTAACAGACGCCAGCTCCAAATTACTCGGTGCTTCCAGACATATCCCAGGACCTGCTGGTAAAGCACGGAGGGGAAAAACCACCAGGACGTGGCTGTTTTAAGGCTCTTCCAGCCCGGAATTGGCCAGGCTGCAGCCGAGCGAGGTGTTTGTCCCGCTCCAAAACAGACCCAAGCGCGTTGGAAAAGCAGCTTCAAGGGCAAGCAGGAGGCCAAACGTTTACAGTCGCAGCTAACGATGGTTAATTATCAACCTGCTCGTCAGAAGGCGGTCGTTATGGGAACCCAGCTCCTCGCAGGCAGGCAGCTTGGATTAGGGATCTCCAGAGGTCCCTTCCAACCTCAACCCCTCTGCGTTCCCCATGCGACAAGGTTTACCTTAAACTTGCTCCCAATGCCTTTTCCTAGGAATTTCCGAAGGTTTCTAGATATTGGGCTACTGATTTTCCCCCACGTTTGCCTTCTGCTGTTAGAGATAGATCTTTTGCGGTCCAAAAAAACAAGGACAAACGAGGTTTCAGTGGGCAAAATTTGTGCAGAAACTAAACAAAAACGTTTTGCTGCCCTTCGTCAGCGAGTGCACATGGATCAGGGGGTAAAAACGGTCTCAAATAACAACCTCATACACAGGGAGAATCCCAGCGCCTAGAAGAGCCAACTGGTACCGCAGTGCTGTCTGAACACGTTAAAAAAATAAGAGTTTTACCAGAGTTTTCCCTCCCAGAGAGGGAAACAGCGCGGAAGGACGAACCACACACAGAGCCGAGAGGGACAGGGACCAAGTTGCAGGTCTGGGCAAGCGGCTGTTTAATTTTCCAGCCACAACGACCACAGCCCTGCAGCAACCTGGGGCACCGGGCACGCTCAGCAGCAGCCGCAGGCCATTTCGGGTTCATTTGTGTTGTCTTTTGTTTTCTCTTTAAAGAAAGGAAAAGTTGCAAACTTAAGATTACAGTTAAACGACACAAAAATGCACTTTTTGTCAGAATGGGAAGCAATCTTCGATATGCCAACAAGTTGGAGTTGGGGTTTGTAATAAAACAAGTTTGATTACTTGCTGCTGAAAGGGAATTTTATTGAATTTAGGAGGGAAACGGCCTCTCTGATACAACAGCCTTCAAACCGGGAGCTTTGCTGGTTACAGGGCCAGAGATTTAACCCAGCGTTGGCCCACGTAGGGTTTTCAACACGGTTGTATTAGCGAGTGTTGACTGATGTTTCTCAGGTGTCAGTTATACCTGGAACTGAGGCCACCACACGGTTTTGGGTAAAAATCCCATCTGTCTGGGAACGCCGCTCCGGAGAGACCTCGGGATGGTGCAGGAGGCTGCTCCAAGCTCGAGGCCAGAGAAAATAAATAAGCTCAGTAACGAGTGCCATTAGGTCACGCCAAGAGAAGGAGCAAAGCACCAGGCACGAGGGGCAGTTCATTTATAGAGAGGACTGGCAACCACAAACGAGCTTTGACAGCCAAAAAAGGCTCATGTGGCCCAAGGGAGAACGCAGAAAAAGATAAAAAATACCCAGGAAACGCTGTGGCCCCAGGTTTTCAGACAAATACGGACTTTATAACCCAGAATTTTAACCTGGGAGCCCAAGGGAGCTGTAACATCACACAGCCACAGCACAATTAGTGTTTCTTGCAGTTATCTGCATGAGGGAACATCCAAAGCCAATTTCCAAAGGGGCTTAAGGAAATGATACAGATGAGCAGACTTTGAAGAGCTAAAACACACAGGCTAAGGACGTTTAATTCCATGAGATCCATCCAGCCTGTTTCTGGTCCCAATTTACAGCCGCAGCAAGAAGCAATTTCACAGCAGTCCCTTTTCCTGGGGAGCCACAAAGGGGTCAGTGCAGGGCTGAGCCAAGAACACAGTTTTGCACAGGGTAAAAAATTGGTGTTAGCTCTGAGGATGCAGTGGTGCGACAGAAATAAAGTCACCATTTAGTTTACACTGGAAATACAATTAAAAAAAATGAGAACTGATGCAGGTCGCATGATGGGGATGCTTAAATTCCTCCAGTTTACTGCATTTTCCTTCTATCACCAACTAAAAATTAGATTTTTCCCCCTTCCAAGCTCATCATTCAGAAATGCAACAAGAACCACCAGTCAAAACAAGTTTTCTGGGTGAACATTCATTCCATCACGAAGCTTTTTGGAAAATAAATCCTTAAGAATTTAACCTAGACACAGCATGGATGCAAGATCTGCACTAACTGCAGCAATATCCTGGCTCCAAGCACCCTGTGGAAAAGCTTCCTGCCACAAGGAAGCAGAGATGACCCTTGGAGTTCACTCCGAGGGGTAGGAAGAAGGAGATGGATTGGAGGATGGTGCTTGGAAGTCGCTCTGTCTGGATCGGTGCCTGCATGGGGAGCACGGAGAGAAGAGCGGCTTCTTGGATGGAGCTTTGGAATTGCTGTCCCAGCTCCTTATGGGAATCCTTCTCCGAGCTCTCACGCTTTTCCCTGCTCTTACTGACCACTCTCTGCATCCCCTGCAGAAAGAACCCCCAAAATCCAGGGGTGCAGCAGCGGGTAGGACACAAAACC